GGGGGGGGGGGGGGGGGGGGGGACCCCCTGGTAAAGCACCTTGTCCCCATGTCTGAGGGCAAGGGCCATTCTTCCAACAACCCTGGCCCCATTGGTTGTGGGCAGGGAGGCTTCTAGGAATGTGAGTGCCCCTTTTATAAAGGGGCACCCAGATGCTGCCCCCCCCCCTTGTGAATGAGTAATGGGTAGTTACGCCTACTCATTTACCAAATACAGTAAAATTGTACATCACACTACCGGAGTAACCGGTACCACAACCGTGGGCAAAAGGTGCTTTGCCAGCCCCCCCACACGCTTCCTGACAAAGCACCCTCCCTATGTTAAAAGCATGTCGCCTGGCATGGTGTAGGAGGGGGGAAGCCACTGGTGTTGGGGTCCACCCTATAATTTCTTACCAGACCCTTGATCCAAGCAGCAGCCTGGCAGAGCAGGAAAGGGTCTGGGGAGTGGAGTCCGTGCTGCTTTCTTTTTTTCTTTAACAATTATTCAGAATGACATTCGGAAAAAATTTGGGATGCATCCGCTATTTTCGTTAATCGTTCAATTTGGATATGTTCGGATTCATCACCTCTTCATTTGGGAAAGTCAGATGCATCTGAATGACCAAATTTTGGAAAATTTGTACGAACGCAACCAATCGCACATGTCTATTGGCCATTAGGCGAAAGCTCCGCCCCAAAACTTAAAAGCTGGTTTTGTGTTCAAAGATGATCTGCTGATGCGGCTAACTGAATCGTCTAACATGCAATGTGAATTCTTGCCCTGCAGAGAAGTTGCTGCGGTGTGGACGGGCCTGTTGACTGGGTCAGCTACACCTCCGCTTTCCGCTTTCAGTATAATGAGGCCACTGCACCTTGGCCGTTCTGGTGCTGCACGAGAGATAACAACTTTCAGATCGTAAATGAAGCCGGCTGCCGTGTGGGATTGCCACCATACATCTTCGACAAGGTAAGAAGACTGACCTATCAGCCATGATGACATCCCAAGCCCCTCCTTCTGCGTACACACTAGCCAATCTGTAGAGTGTAATACTGGGGTGGAATTTATCCTCAGTGGGACTTCTGATCAGATGGTGATTGCTTCTTCCATGGCCACACATGGTACAATCTTCATTTTATTCACATACAGCTATGCAGTATGAAGGGCCTAAGCTGTCATGCTATTCCTTATATGAACTGGCCACTCATTTTGTAACCCAATTGTACAAATTTCCTTCAATTTGGCAACTGTGCCATACGAGAACTTACTAGATTATCAATAGGTGGGCCATAACATCAAATAGCTGCTGGCAGATCAGAAGGGGATGTGCACACCTTACTTATTAGGTGCTGGAGGTCTTCTATTGAGGGATGCCTCCTAACGAGGATGGAAAATTTGATGGCCTACCTTCATAATACTTGAGCAGTATGGCGCCCCTTGGGAGCATGGACATGCTGGCATTTAAGCCACTCGCATTCACTTGACTTCTATAGACCCCAAACTTCTATTGCCTGGACATCCAATGATGGCCCAATAGACAATTTCCCAAACTGGAGCCAGCTAGAGTGTCTGCCATGCCACTATCTGCCATGCCATCCCATGTGTGGTCAGTTTTGGACTTGCAATCGCTATATTAAATATGCAAAACAAGAACAGTTGAGATACAAGATGTTTATTTTCATTTCTTCCAGGGTTGTTCTGACCACATAATACATGCAATCGACAGTTACACTTGGGGCATCTCCTGGTTTGGGTTCGCTATCCTAATGTGGACGGTAAGTTGGACTTTGTCCTGAAGGCTTTAAAATAATCTTTTACTGACCTGTGAAGATGGGTTCTTCCAGAACACTGTAGTGAGACGAATTGTATGGAAGAATGACCTCAATAAAATGGCAATGCAGAGGTTCTTCTCATGGATTGTGCACCATAGACCCTCTATGGCGCCCTGTTAAGACGGCCTTTGTAAAATTATGGATTAACTTGATTTGAAACTTCACATTTCAACCCACATTTTCTGCCTAGTGTTTTCTAAAGTATTGGGGAGGGTTAAGAACCCCCCAAGGTTTTTATGGTGTTTTCTGTAACTACTTGGAGGATTACCCTCACTTAATGGATGGTCACGAAGACAAAGTGAGCAAACGCTCTCCTTTGTGGGCACAGACCAGTATTTATTTTTCACTTACCTTGAGCAGGGAAGGGTTATGATCTTGGCCAGGTTTACATTAACCTGTGTCCCCATTGGGGATAGCTCAATTCTTGTGTGGTTACAAAGACGGGAGGGTAAAAAGAGCAGGGAATGCAGATGGCAACATAAACCTGGCCAAGATCTTAACCCTTCCCTGCTCTAAGCAAAAAAAAATACTATACTGGTGTCCGACCCGGTCCTCCCTCTCCCCGGTCCTCCCTCTCCCCGGTCCTCCCTCTCCCCGGTCCTCCCTCTCCCCGGTCCTCCCTCTCCCCGGTCCTCCCTCTCCCCGGTCCTCCCTCTCCCCGGTCCTCCCTCTCCCCGGTCCTCCCTCTCCCCGGTCCTCTATATTCCGCTTCTTTTTGCCTCCTTACATCTCCTCCTGTCTTTCTTTCAGATGCTGGTGATGTTTGCCACCATGTACCACTACTTTACCATGTGATCCCTGGGAATTGGACCGTGCATGGAGACCCGAGAAGGATTATCGCAGGGAACTCGGACCGCTAACCCTCCTACAAATATTTAGAACTTGTCGATCGCCTGTGATTAGCAAAAAAGAAAAAAAAAATGGCCTCATCCCGGACTCCCAAGCTATTCTTGGCTCGGCAGGTTCACCTTTTGGAAGTTAGCTGTAAATAAAACTATGGGGTCACTCTTTAACTCTACTTAGTGGGTATGTTACCAACAAGGCAGCCATTTTGTAACTCCAAAAAAAAAAAGATATATGCCTATTGGATGGCATTGAAGATGGGTTCTCATGAACGTTCATCTTATTAGGAGCCGGTGGTGAAGGCTGCCATTGCCGTGTTATGTTCATGTATAACCGTCACTGTGTACAGAGAAAATATTTCAGTCTGATTTTATTGTATATTCTGTTTATGTTCTGCTATAAAATGTTGTTTTGTTACTTATTTTTCTATAAATTAGATCTTGATTTGCAACACTGACTGCTCCTTGTGCAGAGAATAAATAGTTTGAAGCCGACTGTCACTTGCTCAACTCTCCCAACTATTTACTATTTTTGTTTCTGTATTGTGTTTATATAATGTGTTCTTAAAATGTAACTTGTGTTTATATAAATATAAAAAAAGTCTAATTAAAGGAGAACGGTAACAACTTTAGCCAGAGCTGCTTAAATTCTTCAGCCTATATCAATCTGTTGGGGGTCGGTTGGCTTTACATTGTGCGGGTCGATATCTAGTGGCGAGCAAAACAAGGGGCTTCTGCCCCCATGTGCTCCAAGATGGAGACTCTCATAGTTTAGAGTTAGGACCGCACTATAAGAGGTGCCTTGGCGCGGCTGTCACATCCTCTGCAGAAGACGTGTATCCAAACCTCTGTTATTAACCTTAGTGGTGAGACAAGTTGTTTTACATGCTGGTTTGTGAGTGTGCCATGATGCCTTTCTACTGTTTTACATATCTAGGGGCGGTCCCGACTCTGCCACCCTACACACCTGCTTGAGCTATTGAGCCCTTGACGACAATATCTTCAATGTACACAAGTAGAGAAAGATGATTGTGTTTTTTGTTTTTCCTTTGCAAACTCTAAGCTTTAAAACACGGCCTCTTTAGTAGGCAGTGTAGAGTAAGTCATCCTCATGGGTAACTGCAAACTCTGAAGTTGGGTTGCCCTTTGTGAATAGCTTGGAGCACCTGCTGTTTCTTTGGATTAGAAGGCTGGCAGGCTGCTCAGTCACTGCTGGAAGAGGAGCTGTTGGCTATCACTGCCTCTGTTGTGGACTTGAGTTGAATTGCTCCAAAGTGCCTGCAGCTACAGTGATCAGTAAAGGTTGTGTAGAACACATTTATTGCTGGAGAAGAGCTCCGGGCAAATATAATCTTAACCCTTGCAGTGGGGCTACCCCTGCACTGTAGGTTAGGTGCTTGTTTTGTCTAGGGAGCTTAAGTAGCAGATATACTCACCCAAACTGCAATCTTGGCTGACCCCTAGACCGATGCCTTCAGCCTGTCTGCTCCTCAAGCCTAGCAATGGAATTTCCCTTGGCATCCCCAAGTCCTATACACTGTATAGGACCTGATGACTCGCAGGACCTTACAGCTGGAGCGGAGGGGGAGCGAGGCCACCGACTGGTCTAGGAGCATGCCAGGATCATGGATCAGGTGAGTATAGCTCTGTTACATTGGCTCCCTAGGCAAAACGAGCACTTATCACTTGCAGTGTGAGTGTAGAGATGTGTAATTTTGTTTTGCCTGGGGATCTTTAACATGACTATAGAATGGGCACAGGTTTACATTAAAGAGAACCTGTGCTATTATCACAAAGACTTTGCTTGGCTTTATTATTTCTGCTGAGCACACCATACTCCCTAGGCACTGGAGGTCTTCTACAGTGTTATGGGTGGTGGTGAGGGTTAAGATTTTTTTTTGCCTTGAGATCTTTAACATTTTAATGACCATAGTATGGACACACGTTTACATTAAAGAGAGCCTGTGTTATGATCAAGACTTTGCTTGGCTTTATTCTTGCTGTGCACACCACACTCCCTAGGAACTGGAGGTCATCTGAGCTGTGCCTCCTAATGAGGATCTAAAACTTGATGGCCTACCTTCATAATACTTTACCAATAAAATGCAGTATGGGGACCCCACCTCTCATGGGTAGGCTGGCATTAAAGTCCCTCACCGTCTTGACTTTGATGGGCCCCAAACTTACATTGCCAGGACATTCAATGATGTGCCGTTTCCCCAAACTGAAGCCATAGGTACTATGTTGCAGGGTCTGGTCCACCATACTATACAAACCCAACCTCTTCTTTTTGGTCAACCTCTTTCCTCTTCACTGGCTTCTGTTCCGGGTGGTACTGGGTTGTCATGTGGGCCAACATGGTGTCACATGTGCAGTCTATAGCACAAGCCAAAATGATCTGTAATGATGTGATACCCATAACACCCAATTGAAGGGTGAATCACTGCCCTGGAACAGGCATTCAGCCATTGGGAGTCAAGTAAGTCCTTGATTCTTTCCCCCCTTTCCTTGTGCTGTGCAATGAACCAATCATGTATTTAATCCGGCTGTAATAAATAAGGAATGCGACCCGGAAGCAAATTATCACACATGCTACGGTTTTAATGCATGATGATAAGACAACTGTTAAACATCTTTTTTTTTTTTTTAGTCTCAGCTCTGCAGTCGGCTTCCTGAAACTACAAAGTACGCGGCTGACTCGGCCTAGTCTGCGTGGTATAAAGCCTGACTGTAACAGGACTGAGAAGCAAACACGTGTGACGGAAAACGCAGCCTAGAGACGCTCTCCGTGGGCAAGGGTGGGCCCTCTCTGGCCGCTGGTGCCGTACATTGGTTTCGCTATAGAGTGAGGCAAAAGGTCTGTGACGTTCTCACGCGGTCCTGTGGCCGGTAACATGGATCTGGTCAAATCGGTGGAAAAGGGTCGTAGTTTATTAATTGTTACATAGGGATTAAGGACGGGACAAAAAAAAGGCCTCTTATTACTGATCTAAAACACATATGTACACACATATATACAACGAATATCGGTACGACCGGCTGCCTCGGAGTGCAGCCGCTACAATCTGTGTGTGATAAAGTTGTTGACGTGGCGGGGTGCTCAGGACGGGGATTAAAGTGCCACTGCTGTGGTTTGGCTTTGGCCCGGTGAGCCCCTCCGAATTTACTACTGACTGGGGGCGTCTGTTGGTGGATTCAACTGAGAATGAGCTGAACAAACTGGTGATCAATTCCAGATTCAATTTGTTTTTTGTCTCGGTAGCTACAGAGTGTTGGCATGATCTCATCGCTCAAGATGGCTGCACAGTGGTTCACCCATTCTGTTTTCTCGCCCGCACTCTCCACCTATAGTTGCCATACAACTGCGTTGCGCACATTGTAACACTGCTCCATGTTTCGGCTGACGTAAGAATTGCCCGCATGCAGCAAAAATATGAGCATTGGTGTCGGCGCGGCTTAAAGAGGCCCTAACCGGCTCCCGGTGAAATTGTAGCGGCGGCTGAGTAGGGAAGAATTACGGCCGAGGGCGGCGCACAAGTCAGTTGTCTGTGTCCACCAAGGCTTCAATGTCATCGTGGAGCACAGTTTGGTCCACATAATGGCTGCCTTTAATGTACATTTTCAGGGGCGGATCTTTTAACTACTCTCCGACAGGCTTGAAGGGGCCCTGTCATAAAGCAAGACTCCTCTGCCATTAGGCTGTTAGTAGGCATGTCACCAACGTCTGGGAAGTGAATGGGGTTGAAACCCCCTTATTTTGGATAGAGTAGAGGTGTAGATCCTTGGTCATGCTTGTATTGTAATATGGGACCTCTGTTTGGGAAATGCCCCCATGACACCCAGTAAAGCCTTTGAGGTTCTAACCCTTCCCTACTCTATCCAAAACTCCGAAAAAGTTTTTGTTTGGCATTGGCATTCTACCTTCATGGCTTCCATCAGCCAGGTGTCTCACTTGACGGCAGCACTCCTGTGGCTTCCAATGACCAATGGAAGCCCCAGAGCCCTTGAAGAGAGAGAGAAACCTTGCGGGTCAACCCCTCAGATCATTTTAAACAGGCCGCCGTGGAGCGGAAGATAGGGGGGCGGGGTTGCAGGCAGTCTGTGGCCGGTAGGATGCCAGGCGAGGTCACGGTCGGTGGGGCCTCTTCCTACCCAGCCACAGAAAGGTTGAACGTTAAATAAATTATGAAGCAGCAAAAAGAGTGATTGTGAGGGGTGTGTGCGATAGAACTGGAAGCCATCGGCGCCGCAATGCATTGCTGGTTTCTCTGCAATAAGTGAAAATGCCATTAGCAGGGATTGGGGTGGGGGGGTTTGGGGGCTTGCGGTTACGGTATGGGGTGACTAGTTATCGGGGAATATCTCACAACGAGATGTTAGTGCTGACCGTCTCTTTTTTTTTCCCTTCGTAGTCATAAATAATTTAAGTGCATTCACAGGGGAGAGAGGCGGACGCTTTTAACCCGTTGTGTCCTAGACGCTATCTGGCTAGGATCTGGTATGGTGCACCGTTGTTCCTACAGGAAAGGAAGGAAGGGGGGGGGCAAATATTCTTTAGCTGTACCCCCTTTTTTTAATTAAATATCCCCTGTTTGTCCCCACCCCTGCCCTATCTTGTACCTCCCCTGAAGTAAAACCCCTTCCCTTCTGCCCAAAAATAATATAACCCGCCGACACCCCCGCTCCGGCCCTCAGTTGTTCTCTTCCAGGTATCTGTAGGTTGGGTTTTCGTAGCCCTGGTTCTGCATCTTGCTCAGGTGCTTGTCTTCGGGGGTCCTGGAAGCTTCCACCTGCAGAAGGAGAGGGGCGAAACGGAAACATTTTAGATACTTTGTTCTTCTTTGATTCTTACTTCCTAATGCATTAAATGCCCTATTCCTGGCCTGGTGACAACTGTCCTCCCCCATCCCCAATTCTTGTCCTGGTGTCGCAAGGTCGAGAAGTGAGGGCAAAATCTCCTCAATGGGGTAAAAAATGTTTAACTCTTCACCACTCTATCCAAAGGTGGCCATTACTGAGATGCTTTTAGGGCAATGGAGACTTTTAGTAGTCCGGGGAAGGGTTATAACATCTGTCCAATGTCTTCCTGTTCTGGTGACCTCTGCTCCTCCCTCATCCTCATTTATTGTCCTGGTGTCACAAGAACAGGAAGTGAGGGTCAAATCTCCTCAATGGACCTCCAGCCAAAAAAAAATAAAAATGGACAACTCTTCACCACTCTATCCCAAACTGGTTGGAGTAAGGTTTTAGGGACAACTGCAGGCCATTGCTGACCTTCGTTTGAAATATCATATGCCTATGGCTTCAATATATTGAGACATTGCCCTAGAACCGGCATGGATCCGGTGAAGTCAGAGGGAACCGGAACTCCTAGTCATGCATGGTTGTTCCGAAGAAAGAACTGAAGTGCCAGGATCAGAACAAAAGCCAACCAGGCAACAGCCATTTTCAGAAGTTGAAGGCAACAATGGAACCCCTCCAAATGTCTCCTAATACAGGTTTCCTTTAAATTCATAAATGGGCGGCAAGGTACGAGAAGGCCAATCATTAAATATACAAACTGTTGAAGATCAACGCCGAATGCCTCTTGGGTTAGTCAGGGTAGGACGGGACTTGGGACAAGGATGGCAAATGGCGGAACGCAAAGGATGATCTCACCTCGATAATCCCATGGCTGATGGTCCCGTAGGGCTTGCGCCGGATCAGAAGCAGGCTGATAATTATAACCATCGCCACGGCAACAGCAACCACCAACAAGCCAATCAGAGCTCCTCGGTTAAAGGGGACCAGGGTGTCTGGTTCCTGCAAGAGGGATTATTACTGCGTTATGGCCCAATTAGTGAGCGATTATGTCATGTTGTCATGACGACGGAGCGTGTGTGTCGGTGTCTGCTGTAGGCCAGTCATGGTCCGAGGACCCAAACTAGACAACGGCAATGTCCTCGTACAAATGTAATAAAATATGCTTACGATGACAGATAGTAAAATGCGGTTTAAATATCTACTCACAATGATAAAACAAAGAAGATCAATATCGCAGGCAGGGGACTTTATTTTGCAACACAGTAAATAAAGATAAAACTCGACTATTACAATCAAGTTTTTCTTTATATGTAATAATAATAATAGTGATCAAGATGATGATTACAAAACAAGAAACGTGAAATACTAACATTACTACTGTTATTTACCTCATCACTGCAGCTAAATGTGTATATATCACTAATAAATATCCGTTTCCACTATTAAAGGAGAACTATGAGGGGGGAGGGGCTTTGCACTCACCTCATAGTTCTAGCCGACCTGTGACAATGAGACTGTCACAGGTCGGCTCAGTAGATCGGGAGGTGAGCGAACACATACCGTCGTTCTCTCACCTCTCGATCCTGTCACGGCTCTCTGCCGTGACAGGGGAGGTGCTGGATTCCTCCCTCCGATCCTCCAGCGCTGACTGGCGGAACGGACGGGGGAGGGGGTGGGTACAGCTGGCTCTGCCTCTAGGTAGGCAGAGCCAGCTGTCACTCACGCAGCTGGGCGGATCTCGACATCGATGTCAGGATCCGCTCCGGCTGCGGCGTCTCAGTATACTTGCGGTATACTGAGCTTAGGGTGACGGGAGGACGCTAGTTTGTGTCCTCCCGTTACCCTAAGGAGAACTATGGGGAAAAACCCTAACCGCATAGTTCTCCTTTAATATCATCAACATTCTCCTTCCCATATTTATTATAGAACTAGAGAAATATAAGGAATAATTATTAACTCCACTGTTCCTAAAAATGTTAACATACCCTCCTCTTCCTTTTACTATTACCGTTGCTTCTTCTTTTTCTTATTTGATATTTATACATTTATCTTATAATTATCATTATTATTATTTGAAATATAACTGCGGATAAATCATAACAGCAATGTTATTATTATGGTTGTTATTATTATTGTTATAATTTTTATACTTTTCTATTTGTTTTATGACTAGATGAAGAAAAATACTCATTATAATTATGCTAAACTGTTTACATAAACATTATCATCCTTTTAATGATTTATTTTTAATAATAATATATTATAAAATGTATTTTGTATTATTATTACTA